TGTGATATAAATATGTGATTGCATAAGTACCTGTGTCCCTACCCCCAAAAAAGTCAAATAGGGTAAAAACTGAAGATTCCCCTTGTCCTCAGAAGGACAGACAACTCTGGATGGGAACAGCCCCAAGTGGTGGTTTGGGGAAGCTGCTGTGAAGTCCTTGATTCATCCATGTGCCCCAAGCCTGATCACAATGACGCTTGAGAATCATGTAACTTGTTTGACTTGAAGTCTAGCCACCTTCCTCAGAGGGTTTCAGGGTCCTGGGTCTTTGTCATTCCCTGTCATTTGTGCAGAGCCTAAAACCTCTGATTCTCCATACATAGTGAGTTTACAATTGCTTCCTGTAATTGGAACTGTCCCAATATCAGCTTGAAATAAGACACAGGTATCCAGGTCTCCACATCCTCTGACTGAGGTTCCCCTCACCTCCTACACCCACTCTCCACCCCACTGTCACCAGCAAATGGCCCACAGTTTAAGCTCAGTTTCAAACAATAGAAACTGGGTTAAGAAAAGAGAATATTTGTTTATTACACAAAGCAGATACCCAAATAAGCAATGCAGTCTCATAACTGGAGCCTCTCGAGCTGCCTGAGACACACACACACACACACACACACACACACACACACACACACGACTGGAGCCAGCTGCCATCTCAGCCTCTGCCATGAAACTTGCCAGACTCTCACTCTGGCTGTTCTGGCCTTCTGTTGCAACTTTGATGAATGCCTAGGGTCCCTTCCCCAAAGACAGGCTAATGTACTAATTTGCTGATTCTCAGAAACATGAGTCTAATGTCCAGGCCCACTTGGGGATCTTTGGAAGAGCATCAAGAGCCCAGAAAGTATTGCACGTTCTAAATCTTCTAAATCTTAGAATTCGAGGGGGAAGGAAAGCTTAGGGAAGGAAGGGGTGATCCTATGTCATTGAGCCTGTCTCTCCAACAACAGATGCCCAGCAGAAAAAGGCAATCTTTTAAACCCCAGCCGCCTGGGACAAGCCCAAGATGCTAAGAAACCTTAGTGTGGCCTCTGGGTCCAGGGTCCTTGCACAACTCTGGTAGTCAGAATCTAGGAGGTCAGAGACTCACATTCTCAGACCCATCAGAAGAATTCAAAACTCCTCCAGATAGGTTCAGCTACTCAACATCTCTAACTAGTCTGTCCAGCAGACCTTTGGTACCTACCTCCTATCTTGTCCAAATATTCCTGGGTTCTAGCTCAATCCTCTGGGCTGTACTGCAGCCAGAAGCCTAATGATCAGACCTAGTTCTTCCCTGTCCCCAGCTGAGGGGAGTTATGAATCGGCTCCCAAGCAAGATTATTGCTCTGCGATGCAGTGTCACAGTGCACCCACATCAGGGAGTTGAGTTACATGCAAACCCTTCTACTGCTCACTTCCACTCCATCCTTCAAAGTGGTCACTCATAAAAGTCCAAACTCAGAACAAAGCCCTATCTCCCACCCTCCTGCCAGATGCCAGCTCTGCTGGGTCCACACCTTTCATCTCAGTCTTTAAGAGCCAATCCCACCTCAGGACTTTTTGTAGCGGCCACACAAAATATAGGCTATTCAAAAAGTATTGTTGATTCTGTTTTCTATCAATCTAAAGCAAAAAAAAAAAATGCAAAGAATAGAACTCTCCCTAATGGCAGTGAGCACACACGCTCTGCCCCTGAGTGAGACCACACTGTTCACAGCAACTGAAGAAAAGGCGGGTGTGGGAGAGTACGCCGAAGGGCAGCAGGAGGTGCTGAAATAAAGCAACCACTGAGAGGTGGGGTGGGCCGTCCCTCCAACTCCAAGAAATCCCATTGGTGGGAGCCGGCCGGACCTGCTCCTCAAGCTTCGGCCACAAGATGGCATCGTCCACACTGTCCCGAAGCTCCGGGGCCAGCAGCCTAGTTTCAGGGTTAGGCAGATTGGCGAAGCAACTCTTCTAGAGGTCTTGTGTCATCTGACTTACCAGTTTTTGGAAGCCTTTTGAAAAATCAGAATTCTGAGGAGAAAACGGGCAGTCACACAACGTTGTGGTCTGGTTGTACACTGCCAGTGACTGGCTAGCCCTTTTGGAATTCAAAATGTTCCAGCTTCCAAAATACTCCAAAATTCAGCTTGACAGAATCTAGAACAAGAATCCAGAACAGAATCAGAATCTAGACATACATATCCCAGAGGCAGAGGACCCAAAGTCTGTGCAAACCACAAGCTGATAGTCTTTATTGATTGTTTACTCGTGAGCAGGCACAGGCACAATGTCTTTTTATGCCTCACACAGCCCAGAGTACATGCCCAGCCCCACACCACTGATGATGGACTCTCCAGCGTTAGAGCATCCAGGGCCAGTAAACTAAGAGATGGTGATGAGACAAGTCTGCTTGCCAAAAATGTGGATTTGTGGAGAAAAGTGTAAGTCACTACACGTTGTCCTTCATTGTCTGCCACAAAGAAGGGACTGGGTCTGTAAAACTTCTAGTGCAAGGTCCTGAGATAGCTTGCCAAGTGAAGACAACTGACAGCCTATGCTCTATCCTCAGGACCCACATGGTGCAAGGAGCAAAGTGACTCCCCTAAGTTATCCTCTGAACTACACAGAGAGACACAGAGAAAAATAAAAATTATAAAAACAAATTTGTGGGTAGGTCAGGGGCTTAGCAGTTCTGTAGGAAATTCCTTAACATAGGTGGCCCTGGTGCTGGCCTCTCCTGGGCTCCTTCACTTCCAAGGTCCCAAATTCCTCTGTTTCCAGATCATCTGTAGGTTCATAACTTTGCCTTTCATTGAGCATGCACAAAGTGAATATCATTTGAATGGATAAGGAAGGATACAGGGCCTTAAAAGTTGAGGTCAAGATTTTAATTACCTAGTCACTGGAAACATTCACCTCAAAGAAATACAATCCAGATGACTGGGGATAAAATGAAGTACGGTAATATCACAGTGTATAGCACAAATACTATAAACCCAGAAACACACATTGGGGTTCAAGCTGCAGATCAAAGAAGCAAAGCAGCAGACCACTAGCTCTTACTCTGCCTCAGGCTGAAAGGGCTGTCCTGTCCTCAATGGTTGGAAAAAAATCTCTGAGGCTAAATACTGAATGCCCTGCTCCTATCTTATATACCTCTCTAGATCTGGGATTAAAGGCCTGAGATCCCACGTGCTGAGATCTTTGTGTAAACTGTTTCTCTTTTAGACTGATTCACTGTCACGTAGACCAGGCTGGCCTTGAAATCACAGAGATCCATCTGCCTCTGTCTCATGAGTCCTGGGATTAAAGGTGTGTGCAACCACTGCCCAGCTTCTATATCTAACTAGTGTGGCTAGTGGAATCAAAGGTGTTTGTCACCATTGCCTGGCTCTATGGCTGTGGCTAGCTTTGCATTCTGATCTCTAGTGGCTTAATTAAATCATAAACAATATATCACCACAACAGTGGGTCACTGTCTTAAGGAGGCTTTGGTGGCTCATAAGGATATGAGCTACATTAACAGAGAGATGTACAATGCCTTAGGTTTTTAAAAAAACAAAATTCAGAGGCCAGGCAGTGATGGCACACACCTTTAATCCCTGCACTCAGGAGGCAGATGCATGAAAATCTCTGAGTTAGAGGCCAGCCTGGTCTACAGAATGAGTTTCAAGACAGCCAGGTCTATAAAGAAACCCTGTCTCAAAACACAGTCAAACAAAAATCCCCACAAAAACAAAACAATTTAGGTTGGAGAGATAGCTCAGTCTGTAAAACTGGATACACAACAAGCTCCAGTTCCAGTGAGAGACCTATCTCAAAAAAATGACACCTAAGGCTGACTTCTGGCATGAACACACACAAATAAGCAAAAAATGCAATTGCAACCACTGAAAGAACCCTTTATCTGTGCTATGCATATGAAATCAGAAGGAATTAGGAACATCCATTAGGGTTTTCTTTTCCTCCTGTGTTTAATCACACTGACTTAGCAAATATAACATTGATTCACAAACTACAGCTAGAGGGCCAAGGTCAAGTCAGCATGTGTTTGGTTTTGGTGGTGGTGTTTTGGGTTTGTTGTTTTATGATTGATTGTTTTAAGGCTTCAAAAGTCCTTTTTTGGGGGGGAGGGGGACAGCATCTTCTTTGTAGTCTTGGGTGGCCTGGAACTTACTATGTAGTTCCTGCCTCAGCCTCCCGACTGTTGGGATTAAAGGCATGTGCCACATAACCAGCAATTTACTTTTTTCAATATGCTATATTTTAATGAATACATGATTATTTTGCTTGGCATCACCTATAAGCTGCTTTAAAGCTATGCATTGGTTAGTATGCCAGCTAGCTGATTACTGCTCTTTCCCTTCCTTTAAGTGACTATGCCAAGAGTAGACAGGTTTCATTCTATTCTATTTTGTGTTGCTGGGTATGTCTGTACAGCAAGAGAGATAGCTCAGCGATTAAGGGCACTAGCTGCTTTTCCAGAGAAAGAAAGAGAGGGAGGAGGGGGGGAGGAAAGGAAGGAAGGAAGGAAGGAAGGAAGGAAGGAAGGAAGAAAGGAAGGAGTGGAAAGTTCCACACTTAATAAACTTTAAAAAAAAAATTGAGCCAGGTGGTGGTGGTACAAGCCTTTAATCCCAGCACTCAGGAGGCAGAGAGAGGCAGATAGATCTCTGTGAGTTCAAGGTCAGCCTGGTCTACAGAGCTAGTTACAGGTAGGCTCCAAAGCTACACAGAGAAACCCTGTTTAAAGAAGCAGTAACAACAACAAAACGTGTGTGTGTGTGTGTGTGTGTGTGTGTGTGTGTGTGTGTGTGTGTGTGTGGGTGGTTTTGAGATTGTTTTTCTCTGTGTACTTTTCTCTGTGTACCTCTGGCTGCCCTGGAACTCACTCTGTAGACCAGTCTGGGTTCAAACTCAAAAGTGATCTGCCTGCCTCTGCCTCCCGAGTGCTGGGATTTAAAGGTGTGTGCCACCAACACCGACAAATAAATGTATATTTCTATAATCAGATGTTTTTACTATGCCAAAAAGTTTACTATGTTTTTATTTGCCAATCTTTAATATGAATATACACATGCTGCATTAAGTACAACCATTTGAAGACAGAATTTAAAATATATCTGAATAAAAAAGTAAATAAAAGCCGGGCCTAGTGGTTTACACGTGTAATCTGACCACGTTAAAGGCAGAGGTGAGCGATCGCTACAAGTTCTAGTACAGGCTGGTCTCTCCATAGCGAGTTTCAGGCAAGCCAGGGTCACAGCCCTAAGAGATGGGCGAAGTGAAGACGCTGAAAGAGGGAATCAGTGAACACAGTCTTTGGTTCCTCTGGTCGTTGGTTCCTCTGAGGGAGGAGAATGGAAACCAGGACCATTTCCGAACAGGAACCTGAAACCGTTGCCTGGGCAACCGCACGGCTTGGAGCGTGGCAGCTGGGACTAGCGTCGGCAGCGATTAGCTGATTTTTCTGGCAACTGATTGGCTGAGGACAGGGGAGGGCGGGACCTCTGGTGTGGAAAACGTGTGGTCAGACTCCTTACCTATTGCGGGCCCCGGGGAGCAACGTGTCCCCTCGCCTCCACCTCCGCCCGGCTAAGACGACTCTTCCACCAGGAGCCTGAGCCATGATGCCAGAAACTCATAAGGAAATGCGTTCGCTGTCCTCGCGGGCGTTCTGCTTTCAGTGTTCTGCTGTGGCTGTGAGCCCTCCAACATCCCACCATTCATGACACCCCACCACCCACCAAATCATCAGTTCCCTTTGAGGCCCACAATACTACATTTTATTTGTTCTTTGTTGAGTACTTTTCAAGGCGCCTCTCTCTTCTGAACATACTCGTGTTGTCTGTCCCAGTGGATCACGACACACCCCAATGCATCAGGCATACAGCCTGAGGAACCGAAATTACAGCCAACAATACCCATCGTGCAAGTGAATCAGTACACTAAGGTCCTGTGAAATTTAACAAGTCTTTGCAAGCAGTCCTTGTCTTCATTAAAGTGTTTTTGGAGAAAGGCCACTTCACAGGTGAGAGTCCCCTCTGCCCCTCACAGAGCCACACAGAGAAATTCCATTGCTGGCTGAGTGACATTTGTCACGCAGACAAGACAGAGGTAGCAGTCTGTCTTTCTGGCCTCTTTGATAAATAACCAGTTAGCCACATGTGGTAGAGCACATCTGTAATTCCAGCATTTGTGAGGCAGAGCCAGTACCACCGGTGGTTAGTGTCATCCTTCAGGTATCTTAGACACTGTCTAAATAAAATTAAAAAAAAAATTTTTTTTGAGACAGGGTTTATCTGTGTAGCTCTGGATGTTCTGGAACCTGCTCTGTAGACCAGGCTGGACTTAAACTCAGAGATCTGCCTGCCCTCTGCCTCCTGACCAAGTTCCAGGATAGCCAGGGCTACACAGTCTAAACAAACAAAAACCCCAAAACATCACAATCCTGCCAGACCTGATCTGACATCAATTTGCAGTGTGACCTGTGATTCAGGGGCCAGAGAGATGACTCAGTGGTGAAGAGACATACATGTAGGAAAACACCAATGCACACTAAATAAATAAATCAATAAATAGCAATAACAATAACAACAAAACTGAGGCAATAAACCCAGCCAGGGGCTGCAGAGCAGAGGTGATGAAGACAATACATATGATGGACCCATCCATCCCCTGGCTCTGCTCCCTGCCTCCAGAGCTATTTGTTACTATTCTCTCTATCTCATTCAAGCTACAGAACTGTAACCCTTAGAAGCTGGCACCACCCAGAGCTGCAGACAGTATGTAGTTCCCTGAGACCGCTCTGGTATCAGAGCTGAATGTTCTCTTGGCAGTTGAGCCATAGTGGAGGATCATAGGCTGGACCCTGGGTTTAAAAAGGAGCAAACAGGAATGGATGCTACAGAGGTTAAAAATCAGAACTTTGTTCAAAGCCAAATGGGAAGGTACAGCACATTATAAATGGCATATCCCAAGGAGGTGAGCAACAGACCTAGCAACAGCTGCAGAACGCATGAGGGGAGAGTGGTCCCTAGTGAGGAATTCTCGGTTTCCCTGGCAGTCCCCAGTATAAGCAAATGGAGAGGAGATACCCACAAAACAGCCAGGAGCCTAAGACAGCCAATCTGATTCTGTAGACAGGAAACGAGTTGCCCTGCTCCTAGTTCTCAATAAAACCCAAAGGAGAAGCTAGGACTCAGCAAGTGCCAAGCGCCCTTGGGACATGATGCCAGCAAAAGGGACCCATTCCCCATCTTCATTTTCAGAAGGACTGGCTGTCTTCTAGCTGGGAAATCTGAACTCCCAGTCTTTGTTTATAGACCTAAGGTCACAAGTTGGACTGGGTGGTTTACACCTAGAAGGCAGAGCAAGGAGCACCGGTTACAAAGCTTGTTCCAGACTACCCTAGGCTACATGAAACCGGGTCTCAAGAAACAAAACCAGGGTGAGATTGTTCAACAGGTAAAGACGCCTACTGATAACTTAAGCTCCATACCTGGGACCACATGGTAGAGAACCAACTCTAGAAGTTGTCCTCTGATCTGACTTCCACAGGTGCACTGGGGCATGTGCACCCCCACACATACATGTATATAGAAATCACAACAACCACAAAAACTAATTTAAAAAAAAAATGCCCTAATGTTTTGGAATAGGGCTCTGACAATAGAGACCCTAACCCAGGAAAAGGCTTAGGAAAAGGGTCCTCCCAGGCCCAAACTGGTGACTCTGGGATGCCTAAACGTGGACGCCTGGTAGAACCAAGAGCTGTGGGATGCTCAGAGATCGGTTGACACACCAGGCAGACAGAGCCGCGGGGCCACAGCTTGAAATCCAAGGCCTTTAATCTGCAGTTAAGAGTGTTTGCTTCCTCCTCCCACGTCACCATGTCCCACTTGGTGCCAGCATTGCACTTTACAGTTCCCAGCCCTCACCCCAGTCCATCACACTAGCTAGGACCCAGCAGCTTCCCAGGGCCCTAGCATCAGTGGGGACTGTCCCAGCTACCCTGGGTGGTCTCTCTCTGGTTTCTAAGTAGGAGCAGGAGGGGGTGTGGTGAGCGCCGCCCCCAGCATGAGCATGGCCAGGGCCTTGGGCCCGGTGGTGTGAATCTTCTCATGCCGGTGCAGGTTGGAGCGGCGGGGGGGGGCCTTTCCCGCCCCCGGGCGGGCAGGAATAGGGCCGCACACCGCGGTGTGTGCGCTGGTGGGCAGTGAGGTGCGAGCTGTGGCTGAAGCTCTTGCCGCAGTCCAGGCAGTGGTAGGGCTTCTCGCCAGTATGAGTGCGATTGTGCGCGATGAGGTTGGAGCGCTGGCTGAAACACTTGCCGCACTCGGGGCATGGGTAGGGCTTGACGCCGGTGTGGGTGCGCTGGTGCGTGACCAGGGCGGAGCTCTGCGTGAAGCACTTGCCGCAGATAGGGCACTTGTGCGGCTTGGCGCCGGTGTGAGTGCCCTGGTGTGTGACTAGGTCCGAGCGGCGGGTGAAACGCTTGGCGCAGCGGTCGCACACGTAGGGCTTCTCACCAGTGTGGATACGCTGGTGCTGGATCAGCGTGGAGTGATGGCTGAAGCTCTTCCAACACGAAGGGCAAGTGTAGGGCTTTTCGCCTGTGTGGATGATCTGGTGCTGGATGAGGTGTGAGCTGCGGCCGAAGCGCTTCCCGCAGTCGGTGCAGGTGTAGGGCTTCTCACCCGTGTGTGTGCGCCGGTGTGTCACCAGGTGCGAGCGCCAGCTGAAGCCCTTGCCACACTGTTCGCATTTGTACGTCTTCTTGCCCGTTTCACCATCGGGGACCAGCCCCTCCTCGCCACTTTCCAGGGCAACCTTCTCGCTGGGTTTCTCTAGGCCGCTGTCCTCTGGGGTCTTGAGAGGGTGTGTGTCAGGTGGGGACGGCTTTGGCGGCCAGGCTTCCCCTGTGTCTCTGGCCATCTTTGCACCCAGGTCACTAGCCTCGTGCTGACCACACTGTGGCTCTTCCCTCAGGGCCCACCTGGCCCTGGGTTTCCTCAAGGGTTTCGTATCCTCTAGGGTTGCCACGGCTAGGGTTGGTACCATCTTCCCCATTTCCACAATACCTGTAAAACGACAGGGCTGTCAGCTGGAGACAAACTTCTGGAGAGACGGCAGGATGAGAAGGCAGTGCTAAAAACCCAGAATCTAGATTCTGGGAAACAGGAAAAGGACAAGAGCCACCCTCTAGCAGTAGAGAGGTCTGGAAACCCCTCATACACACCCACAAGAGGGAGCCCCAAACCAAGGCATCTGCTAAGGCCCTCACCTGAACCAAGGCTTCTCCTCTCAGCTCCGGCTGGTCTGCTGGAACTTGCCATCTCACCCTTTCCCTGAACTTGGGGGACCCAGAAAGGTCTGCTGAAGGGGAACTCTGTCCAGAAAGAGAAGCTGTGCTCTGCCCAGTGGTAGAATCACACCCCCCCCCAAACCACACTCCTCCCATCATCCCCCATCGCCAGCCCCACCAGACTCAATGGGGGAAAAGGGGGAACAGGGACCCTAGAAACCTAAGGCAAGACAAAAGGTACTCATTCTCTTTAGAGCTAGGCATGGGTGCCAGCACCTGGGAGGCAGAGGGAGGATACTGAGCTCAAGGCCAGCCTAGACTACACACTGAGACTCTGTCTCAATAAAAATTGGTAAGCTAATTTTTAAAAGTCCAGGTTTGGTGGCACATTTGTGAGATTCCAACACTTAGGGGTTAGATGAAGGAAGATTAGGAGGTTTAAGGTCAGCTATATAATGAGTTCAAGGCTGGACTGTGCTACATGAGACCCTGTCCCAAAACAAAATTTAAACAAATGGATAAATAAATATCTTTATGCTTTTAGAAGGGCTGGAGTGTGGCTGGGTGGTAGGATGCTTGCTTGTGTGGCTGGGTGGTAGGGTACTTGCCTGGTATGTGTGAGGCACATCCCTAACACCACATAAAGTAAAATAAATCATCTCCCTTTGTTGATAGTCCATCCTCTTACCGGTAGCCACCAGTTATCCTCTCCCAGAGCTTGGCTGCCCCTAATTCGTGTTTTCCTGAGCAAACAACAGAACTCTCCAGGGAGGACTAGAGCCTGCTCAGTTCAGCAGGTCCCTTTCCCCATCACAGCTGTCAAGCAGTGGGTCAGCAGTAAGAACCTCAGAGGACCACCTACTCCTGCACTTGCATTCAGGGGAATCAGGGATGGTGCAGAGAGACCAAACTCCAGAGGCTGGGACACTGACCAACCACAGGACCAATGTGCTGTGCCCTTGAGGAGTTGGCCTGTAACTCCCATGACTCAGTAGAGGACAGGAATTTGTTAGGTCATCGGTTAAGGCCCACTTGAGTCCTAAGTTCCCTCTGATGACCACAGTTTGCTTGGACTTGTTGGCCCTGGGAAATGCTAACGATGGGCAGTGAGCAAACCTGAGATAATTACAGCAGAGAGTGGGGCGCCCAGAATGAGTCTCAGGGCCACCATCCAAGTCCTCAGCAGAACTGCCAAGGCCATGGGGCCTGCCAGCTATGCCTGTTAGCAACCAGGTTAAAAGCCAGACACAGTGGCAAATGTTTGTAGTCCTAATGATGGGCACGTGGATACCTAGGGCTCAATGGCTATAAAGCCTAGACAATTTGGTGAGTTCCAGACCAATGAATGACCCTGTCTCAAAAAAATAGAAGTGATCCGGGCAGTGGTGATGCACACCTTTAATCCCAGCACTCGGGAGGCAGAGGCAGGAGGATCTTTAAGTTCAAGGCCAGCCTGAACTACACAGTGAGTTCCAGGACATCCAGAAAAAAATAAAAAACCAAAGTGGAGATCACTGAAATAACAACATTCAAGGTGATCTCTCTCTGTCTCTGTCTCTCTCTGTCTCTCTCTGTCTCTCTCTCTCTCTGTCTCTCTCTGTCTCTCTCTCTCTCTCCATTAAACACACACACACACACACACACACACACACACACACACACACACACACACACAGCCCGGGATTCCACCTTAACTAGTAAATTCAAAATAGCTACATAATGGATGGATGGATAACAAAGAAGAGCTGAAGACATCACCCAATTCTGTCAAGATCAGTTTGGAACTGAGGAGTCAAAAGCCCTTCCCTGCAGGAGCATCTTGCCCTGTAGGTTCCTTGAAGCAGCAGCAATTGCTTCTAGCTTAAGGACCTGAGAGGGTGGCTGATGGCACATTCAACCAGGAAGCCTCCAGATGAGTGCACACATCTGAAGCCGGGACTCTGAGAAGGAACACAACATGTGTGATAAGTTAATGCAGTGAATGGAAAAACAGAAATCTAAACCAACACTGCAGTGTGGCAGCCACTCACTGGCGTGGCTGCTGCTTCTTTTTAAACATCCTTTGAGATAAGTGTCACTACTTAGCCCTGGCAGGCTTTGAACTCTGTATGTAAGCACCAATCTCTAGCCTTTGCCTCTGCCTCCCAACTGCAGGGATTACAGGTATGAGCCACCTCATCCAACACTGGGTGTTCAAAAGTCTGAGTTGATCAAATGAAATTTAAATTTTATCCCTCCTCTCCTATTCCTAGAATTTAACAGGCACTCAGCTGTGGTCACTGTCCTAGACAGATGCAGACATTTCCATCTGTGTGGAAGGTACTACTGGACAAAGGAGAGAGAAAAGGGGACAGGAGGAGAGGGGTGGGTAGGGAGGCACATTCCTGAAAGCACAGGAGGGTGCCACTGCAGATGAGCCCTTACCCAAAGCCAGCCCATTTTTTTCCTGTAGTACATCCTTGTAGAAATTTTGCTGTGTGTGGTCCAGCCTTCCCCACTCCTCATGGGAGAGGTACAGAGCCACATCCTCAAAGGTCACAGGCATCTGAGACAACATGAAAATAACACTATTCAGGGTTTGCTGTGGACACGGGAAGAAAAAAATGACAACACCAGGCCTTCAAACTTCTGCCTCCAGTGACCCCATCACTTGGATTAGATGGTGGGACAGGAGAGCCACCCAAGAATGACCTTCTCAGGGATGTGAGCAAGGCAGCACTTTAGGGTGCATGGTCACAGCTCAGGCCCCACAAGGGATCCACCTCAGAGGACAGGACTGCTGTGAGCCCACGTCTGAGCAAGGGCTCTCAGGTGCCCCCCCCCCAAGTACTTTAGCAGGGGGTTCTGACTCCACACAATACAGACAGGTCTGAGTACCGTGTGAAGACCAGGAAGAGTCCTGCCTCTGTCCTGGGGCAGGCTAGAGGGACCCTCAGGAGACACTTACGTGGGACCAGGCAGTGAGGAGAGCAGCAGCCACCTGTCGTTCTCTAGTCCTCCCCCCTCGGGAAAGCACAGGAATCCAGGGTGAGGGAAGAGCTGCAGGAGACAAGGTCCTCAGGGCAGCCAGCATCCTGGGCAATGCTGATCCCCCAGCTACCTCAACCCTTACCCGATTCAACCCAGGAAGACAGCCACCCACTAGATGGAAATCTGGGACCCCTCCCTCAGTAAAACCCTAAACTCCCCACAGGAATGTCTCCCCCAGAAAGTATGCCCTTCTCCTACCTCCACCAGGCAGGAACAGGGCTTTCCCCTTACAGCCAGGACTTGGAGACATCCAGCCCTGTGTTCCTGGTGCCCTGTCCTCTGGTGATGTCCCCTCAGGGTGTGGTTCTTCTGGCTCTGCCTTAACGTGTGTTGACTCCTGAGAGGCTCCCAAGGGCCCTGTCTCCTCCTGCCCAGAAAGCTTGTCTCCATAGCATTGTCCATGATCTAGAAACTAGGAATCACACTCCCTATCAGCACTGGGCTGGAGATAAGGTTGAGACAGCCAGCAAGTGGGATGCACACTCAAACATAAGGCACACTTTAGAGCAGCAATCAAGTTAGCAATCTTGAAATTAAATCACTGGAAATTTAGGGTGAGCCCTACACCCAGTGATTTAGATCTTGGTAAGAACAGAAGGTACAGCTAGGTCTGGTGGTGCCAACTCAGGAAGTTGAAGCAGGAAGATAACAATCTCAGGACCTCCCATGGCTACTAGGAGAGTTCAAGGCCACACGAAAAACTTAGCAAATCTGTTTGAAAAATAAAAGTCAAAAGTAGCTCAATAGGAGACTGCTTATAGTATGCATGAGAAGCAGGGTTCAGTCCTTAGTAACGCGCGCGCGTGTGCACACACACACACACACACACCTGCCCCACCGGCACCATACCACTCACCACACCCTCCACACCCACAGGAACACACACAGGGCTGGGGAACATAGCACAGTAACAGAATCTTGCTCAGGGTCCTAGGGCTGATCTCCAGCACTGTCTAAATACAAACAAACAAAAATAATAATAAAGGCACAGAGGCTGGGAAAATGGATCAGCAGTTAAGAACACTGACTACTCTTGCGGAACACTGGAGTTAGGTTTCTAGCATTCATGTTGGATGGCTCAGAACCACCTGTAACCACATCCAAACACCCCACACCACACACGCAAATATACATATAAAAAAAAGTAAGAGGAGGAGGAGGCACAGAGAACAGAGATGGAGCCATACACATACATAGCTAGACTAGCCAGAGCCATGAAAAGGCTTCATCCTGGAAGCCTTCCAAGGGCGCAGAGCGTTCTAGGACTGTTTGAGAATAAACCTACATGGGCTTAGCTTCCTGGTTAGTGGGAGCCTACCAGGCAGCCACAGGCAGCCAACACATCCAGGCTGAGAGATAAAAGAAGGCCCAAATCACAGGGCTCTACCACTTTCCTTGTGCTGGGGGATACCTGGTGAGTTCCCATCTATGACATGGTGTAACCAGCTGGCCTTCTGCTGGAAGCTTGCGCCTATTCTCCTTCCCTCCCCCTATATGGGACCTTCAAAGTACCTGGGGCCAGATCCAGCCATACCCATGACTGACCATGGCCTAGACTCAGGAGCTCTGCCATTTGACTGAGACTGTTAGGAGGAGCTGGTAGTTGAATGAGAGACAGTTGCCTGCTCCAGAAAGTTCTGCATAAATAAAGAGCAGTGCACGTGATTGTTACTGTTCCTTCACCAGTGTGCGGTTGACAGGATCTGAGCTCAGCACCGAATGCAGACCTCATCATGTGTCAGAGGTCCCCACCTAAAAAGCTGCTGTGGCAAGGACATTAAACACTGCCAACAGTTCTTTGGGCTTCTACATCATAAAAATGGCAGCAAACGCATCAGTCTATATTTATCTGTATTTGTAACCACCAGCAAAACTCAGTGGGAGGAGCCAAATTCCTGATTTGGTCCAGCAGTTTTGGGTGTTCATGTATCACAGTATTCATCAGTTACAGGCTGGCAAAAAGCTTACAGGCAACTCTCACATTCATTATCTCCTTTGAGCCTACCAGTGACCTAGCAAGACAGGTAGGAATGGCAAGTGTATGACTAAACTTTACAAAGAGCACAAGTAGTTCCCACAGGCCAGAGCACTGGCCCAAGATCACATATCAGGCCTTTATTTCCAAGCCCAGAGAACCTGAGTCCCCAAAGGTGGCAATTACACACACACACACACACACACACACACACACACACCACATGAGGAGGCATGGTCCAGGATTAAGGGAGTGAAGAGTAGAAGACTTCCCTATGCTCTCGGAGTGCTATGCCCCCTACTAGACAGAGCAAAAACACTTACACTGGAAAGATGGATTGGAAGCTATTTCCCATGGTGCCGCTCCTCCTCCCCAACCCCTGCCCAGTGCCTCATCTGGAAGCCCCACTCCTACAGTGACTCTCATGCTTCCTTTTGTCCAGATACCAGTTTGAAAATCCCCTCTGCTCCATTCCAAGGCATCCCTCCCTCCTTAGGATGCCACCATACCTCATGGGTTTTCTCCTTGCTTTTGGTAGCCAGGATGTTTTTACTGTCTGCAGACATCTTCTAAATCAGAGAGAGAACAGCAAATGATTCTCTCTCGCCCTGCTCATCAAGCCTCCTCCAGGTTTTAGCCGGGAACCTGGAAAAGAGGAAAGAAATCACTAATGAGGACACCTTCCACGTGTTCTAGAATACAGACCACCAGAGTGCAAATGAAGTCTTCAGACCCTATGGAGTCCCATGCTAAATGACGTTTTCTGGTTTCTTTGAAAGGAATGTCACTGAAGCAAGAGCATCAAATATCAGTGAAGCCAGCTCAGAGAAAGTGAAGACTACATCGGAATCAGGGTTTCATGTCATGAGGCGCAGAAAGTTCTGCGGAGAGCCTACAAAAGAGGTACCAGTGCAGTGATGACTGCCGTGTGCCCCAGCTGGACACAGCTTGGCCTGGAATCCTCGATCAGCTGCCCACTCGCGACAGTTCTCTCACAGCTGCAGGTTTCCCCCTGGGTATGTCCATCCTGGTCATGGTCCGGTGGGAGATGTCCTCATCTTCCTCATCCTGGGTTCAGCCCCCTCATTCTCTCCTGCCAGCCTGAAGCCTTCCACCTTTGATCCTGTCCCCTTCTGCACAAGCTGATTTCCCCATGCTCTCCCAATCATCCCTTTTTTCACCAAGGTAGAGGCAAAGGAGGAACCTGGGGTGCCGTGGAGCACCCCTGCCGGGGATGAAGCGAGTCTCTGCAGCCGAACTGAACGGGCCGGGAAGTCCGGCGGAGGCTGGGATTAGGGACAACAGGAAGTCCCTTCCAGATCCCATTCCCCACTCAACTGCAGCTTTATAGGGTTCCTAGCTTCGAGGGTTCCGGCTCAGGGGGTCCCCAGCCTGGACTGCACCTGCCTTGGCTTGGGAGAGAGGGTGAGATCCATAGTGCTCTACCCAGCAGTGTTTATGAACACTGAAACAGGAAAAACTGCAGATGCGCCGGGCGTTATGACTCACGCTTTAATCCCAGAACTCGGGGACAGAGAACTGAGTTCGAGGCCAGCATGGTCTACAGAGTGAGTTCCAGGACACCTAGGGGCTACACACAGAAACCCTGTCTCGAAAAAACAAACAAAAAACAGAAGGTGCATTTTTTAGACAGTCTTAAGTATTTGATGATTTAAAGTTTGCAGTCGCCCTTAAAGGAGAGGCATTGTACTGAGGGAAGGGACAGGGTCGTTCTCTCCTCCACACCACACACCAGGAGGGCATATACTGTCAATGGGGCCTCTGGATTCATTTAAGGCTCCTAGGTTAGGAGGTCTTCTGTGTCCTCCCAGACTGGCACAGAGTTCTGGATCCCCAACTGCTCTTAAATAAGATTCAACCCTCTGTAACCCACCTTGATGTCCTATGTGGCTGCAAGATGGGAGAGAAATTGGATCTTTCAAGGCCACTCAGGCTGGGTAATAGAGGGGTATAGACTGTCCCAGAGTGGATTTGCAAGACGTGGGGGTGGGGTGGGGAAAGAGTATGATCAAACTACATTGTACAAATTCCACAGATAACAAATAAAATACTATAATTTCTTTGGTTTGTTGAGACAGGCTCTCGCTATGTAACTCTGGCTGTCTTGAAACTCACTATGTTAACCATGCTGGTCTCGAACTCAGAGATCTGAATATACATACATACATACATACATACATACATACATACATACATTAAAGACAGAGCTGGGGAAGCAATAGCTCAAAGGTTAAGAGCATTGGCTGCTCTTCCAAAGGACCCATGTTCATACCCAGCACCTACATAGTGGTGTTCCTAAGAGATCTGACACACTTTTCTGGACTCCATCTGTCCTGCATACATGGCATGTAGACGGATATGCAGGCAAAACACCTATCCATAAAACAATAGCATAATAATAGCATTTTAAAAAGAGGCTACCCAGTTGTCCATGTTCCAGATCCCAATACCGCCTGGAAGACTCTATTCCAGACCTTGGGAACCAAGGCTCCAAAGGGGGAAGAAAGTGACTGTGCTTCTCATTCCATTGAGAAATGTTTTTTTTTTTTTTTTTTTGGACATAGCATGGGAGTGTTAGGAAAGGAGTGGTGCCCTAGACTGGAGTCCTCGGGAACTCATCCTGTGCCTGCTGGCTTCGGCTCATCCAAGTCTTCTAAGACAGACCCCTTCAGCCCAAAAGGCAAACACCAGTAGCTGAACATAATGGCTTGTTGCTATAACCCCATAATCAGGAGGCAGAGGCAGGATTACCAAGAATTTGAGACTAGCCTGGGTGGGCTACATAGTTCCATATAAACTAGGGCTACATAGCAAGACATTGGCTTAAAAATGAAGAACATATCCGGGCATTGGTGGCGCACGTCTTTAATCCCAGCACTCGGGAGGCAGAGACAGGCTGATCTCTATGAATGAGTTTGAGGCCAGCCTGGTCTCCAGAGTGAGTGCCAGGACAGGCAGGCTCCAAAGCTACACAGAGAAACCCTGCCCTGGGGGGAGGGGGGGGAGAAGAAGAAGAAGAAGAAGAAGAGGAGGAGGAGGAGGAGGAGGAGGAGGAGGAGGAGGAGGAGGAAGAGGAAGAGGAAGAAGAAGAGGCTGGAGAAATGGAGAACACTGACTGCTCTTCCAGAGGTCCTGAGTTCAATTCCTAGCAACCACATGGTGGCTCACAACCATCTGTAATGAGATATGGTGCCCTCTTCTGGTGTGCAGGTGTACATGTACTCAGATCACTGTATACATAATAAAAGTAAGTCTTTAAAAAAAAATGAAGAACAACAAAAAAGCCAACCCTGGTCCCCTGCACAAGTTCACCAATGTGCTATCTGGGCTCACTTGGCTTAATTTATTTTTAAATTTGCTAGACAGGGTGCCACTGGGTTTAATTCTGATTACTCAAGAGCATGAGTCAAGAGGGTCACAAGTTCAAGGTCGGCATGGGCAACTTAGTGAAACCTATCTCAAAGTAAACATTTAAAAACGAAAAGACTGTAGAATAGATTAATGGGAAAGCATTGCCAAGCATATGCAAGTTTTACACTACAGATATTTACAAAATGAATAAAATAAAAAGTTAATTGCATGTCGAGCGTTGGTAGTGCAGGCCTTTAATCCCAGCACTCAGGAGGAGAGGCAGAGGCAGGTGGCTCTCTGTGAGTTCAAGACCAGCCTTGTCTACAAGAGCTAGTTCCAGGACAGCCTCCAAAGCCACAGAGAAACCCTGTCTCAAAAAAAAAAAAACAAAAAAACAAAAAAAAAAAGTTAACTGCAGCATTAAAAATGACCAGAGTTCTCTTAGGGTGTGTGTGTTACTGAAGACGGAACTCAGGGTCTTACCTACGGAGGCAAATACTGTATAAATGAGCCATATACTTAGCTTTGAATTTGAATTTATTTATTTATTTGTTTTGGTTTTTTGAGACAAGGTTTCTCTGTGTAGCCCTGGATACTCTGAAACTCCCATTGTAGACCAGGTTGGCCTCTAACTAACAGGTCTCTGCCTCCCAAGTGGTGGGATTAAAGGCATGCACCATCACAGCCCAGCTATATTTGAATTTTTAAAAATCAGAACATTTGGGTCTGTGAAATGGCTTTGCAGTGAAAGTCTGTGATTTGAGTTTTATTCCTAGAAAATAAGTAAAAGTGGAGAGATAGAACATACTCCCCAACACTGCATTGTCCACCTGCACTTACACACATATCACACACATTTTTTTAAAGACTTATTTATAAGCATAAAGTGTTCTGTCTGCATGTATTCCTGCAGACCAGAAGAGGACACCAGATCTCATTGCAGATGGTTGTGAGCCACCATGTGGCTGCTGGGATTGAACTCAGGACCTCTGGAAGAGCAGCGAGTGCTCTTCACCTCTGAACCATCTCTCCAGCCCCTAACATATTTTTTTTTTAATCATAACATTTGGCAACACTGGACCAATATTCCCTCCACTCATGGCAAGATTTGCAAGTGGCCACATCTGATTGCCCCCTATGGCGTTGAATTAGTGTTCTACTATAGAACTTAAGCTGCTTGTGGGGACGGAGATGTAGCTCATTAGTTAGGAGTACTTGTTCTTACAGAGGACAGAGGTTGAATTCCAAGCATCCACATGGTGCCTCAGAACACTCTGTATCTCCAGTCCCAGAGGATCTGATGCCCGCTTCTGACCTCCTTGGGCAGCAGGCACACACATGCTACAAATACATACATGCAGGTAAAACACACACACATAAAAAATAAAAGAGGGGGCTGGAGAGATGGCTCAGCAGTTAAGAGCACTGACTGTTATTCCAGAGGTCCTGAGTTCAATACCCAGCAACCACACGGTGGCTCACAACCGCCTTGAATGAGATCTGCATGCAGGCAGAAGACTGTATACATAATAAATAAGTAAAATCTTTTTTAAAAAAAGTATTTTTTTAAAAAGGGGGGGGGCTGGAGAGATGGCTCAGAGGTTAAGAGCACTGACTGCTTTTCCAGAGGTCCTGAGTTCAATTCCCAGTAACCACATGGTGGTTCACAACCATCTGCAATGAGATCTGGTGCCATCTTCTGGTGTGCAGATATACATGGAAGCAATTAACAAATAAAATCTTTTTAAAAAATAAAAATAAAAGAGAATATCTGTGTCCATGATACTGATGATTCCTGTGAGCCATTATTATTTTTGTTGTTCTTGTTATTCTTTTCCTAGAGTAATGTCACAGAGGCCTTGGAGCAGTCTTGGAGGACCAAGACTAAGGTGTCTGAGAATGACATAATACTGACTTCTCTCTTTTTGGTAACAGTCCATAAAATGTGTGCCCCTCTCTCCTGAGATGAAGCGAGGCAAGAGGGAGCTGGAGGAGTTGTGGGTAGGACACTGTACCGTGTGAGATCATGATCATGCAGCTGATGGTAACAGGATCAGCAAGTGAGAAAGACCACTTTCTGGGACTCGCCATCATGGGCCGGTATAGCCCTCATCTTCCCTCAGCTTGGTGGGTAGGAATTTATACTGGGCCAGCTTCTTCCTGGCTTCCTCCAACTCTCCTTCTTTCTTTAGCATTTCTTCCTGGGATGCAATGATCTGAGCAATGCCTCCCACAAACTTCTCTTTAGAGATGATGGAAGCTGGAGTTAGACGCTATTAGTAAAGCCAGAAAACACTCGCAGGTGGACTCTGGGGTCTACAGTCACAGAGGTCCTTGTAAGTTTGGAGCACTGATTCGCCCACAGGGATGAAGAACCCCTGCCCCATTTGCACACTTTTCTTGCCCCAGTGTGTAAGCTCCTTGTACAATCTACACCCATCTTGTATTCTTGTGGCCCAGAAAAATGGAAGTTATTTTTTTTTTCTCTCCGAAATCCAAAAGGCAGAGTTGTGAAAAGTGGCCAGGGTTAGGTGGGCAGGGGCCGGAATAAAATCTGGGGCTCTTTAAATAAATAAATAAATAAATAAATAAATAAATAAATAAATAAATATAAAAAGAGCTCGGGAGTGAGAGTAGGATGATTGTGTAAAAAACAGGCTTTAAGAATTCCAGACTCTGGCTTGATTCTACTGTCAATATGAAGAATGAAATTTATTCTGGGTTTGTCTCTGGATAGTATGCCCAGGTATTTGAAGCCTCAAGGTGAAGATAAATGTATTTAACACTAGTTTCAAACCAGACATAACTATAAACTCACACATGAGCCAAGGGGATCCTAGAACAGACAACACACTTTACCCTGGATAAAAGTTCTCCACCAACGAAAGGCCAATGAAGCATATTGATGGAAAAGGTGTCCAGAGACATGGA